GTTTGTTAGGGAGAAACGGTAATTTCTAGATTTTTGGCTTAGGAGATTCTTTGGGTGGTAGTGCCATTTATAAGATGGGAGACTTGGGAAGTACAGTTGAGAGGAGGGAGACCAAGAGTTGTGGTTTCGTCATGTTCCGTTAGAAATGCCCTGTAGACATCTATGATACCAGGTAGACATTGGGATAAACTGGAGTTGTGGCCATTATAAATAGACTCTTAAGCCTTGGGACTGATTGGATGACCTAGGAGAGAATGTGCAGCTAAAAAAAGAAAGGGACCAAAGGCAAAGCTCTAGGATCTTTTCATTTAGAGGTCAAAGGAACCAGAGAGGCAGGATAACGTGAAGCCCAGGAGCCGCAAGACTATCAGATTCAGCAATAAGGAGGTTACCGCCAATCCTGACATGAACAGTCTTGGGAGGAGTGGGGTCCAATGGATAGCTGCAATGATGTGAGGAGTGAATGTAAAGTGAAGAAATGGAGACCGTAGGCAAGTTGGGATAATAGTGGCATAGGGCTATGTGGTCAATGGAGAACATTTGAAAGATGAGAGATCCCAAGGTAGAGTTGTATGTAAAGAGAGAGAAATTGATGATGTAGGGGACGGAGATTTCTCAAGGCAAGGTAAGAAGAGGAAGCGATCTAGGGCACAAGTGGCAGGGTTGGCCTTTAGTATGAGGGATGCTTCATCCGTAGTGACAGCATATAAGGCAGATGCAGGTGCATAGGGGTGGCACAGAAGGTGAAGGCAGGTTAGAAATTTGAGGGTGGGGGACTGAAGATGTTCTCTCCTGATTTGCTTTGATTTTTCTCAACGAATAAGAGGCAAGATGATCACTGGAGAGCAAGAGAGGCAAGGCGGGGGATATAGGAAATTTGAAGAGAGAGAGGTAGAATAGGGGAAAACAAATATACTAGGGAAATAGGATTCACTTGCCAGACAGTGTTGAGTGGCGGTAGGGGCTGTGTGCATGATTGTTATTTGACTGTCCTCAGGCATGCTGTGGACGAATTTCTAAAATTAATTTTTGGCGTACCCTGCTGCTTTGCTTCCCTTCCCTTCCCCTTCCCTCTGTGGCCTTCCTGTCCACCTAACCCTGTTGAACAAACTAGAGGTGTGGGGGAAGGGCACTCTCCGTTAACACGTCACTTAGTCCTGGCTGCACTACTGAGGGCACACGCCGCTGGTTCACTTCACCTCTGACCTTGTACACTCGCTTTGCCCTTTGTGATCTCATCTGCTCTCAGCCGTCACTATCACACGCATGCTGAAAAGTCTGATGGCCCCATGCCCACACCCCTGTCTCTCCAGAGCACGAGGCCAGTATGACCTGTAGCCTATAGGACTTCTCCACAAAAAGTATTAGTTTCCTATCTGCTGTTACAAATGATCACCAGCTTAGTGGTTTAAAATGACATAACACAAATTTCTTAGAGTCCTAGGGGTTAGAAGTCCAAAATGGTTCTCTCTGGGCTAAAATCAAGGACTGTGTTCCTCCTGGAGGCTCTAGGGAGAGAATCTGCTTCCTTTCTCAGCTTCTAGAGGCTGCTCTCATTCCTTGGCTCATGGCCACATTGCCCAGACCTTTATCACATCTTCTCTGACTCTCCTGCCCTTCCCTTTTCACTTAGAAGGACCCTTGTGATTACATCGGCCCACCTGAATAATGCAGGATAATGTCATCTCAAGATCCTTAGTTAATCACATCTGCAACGTCTTTTTTCCGATGCGAGGTAATATATTTGCAGGTTCTGGAGAATTCAATGAGGACATCTCTGGAGAGCTATTATTCTACCTACCACACAGGATGTCCCATGATCAGACACAAAAGAGAATTCACTGTCTGATGATGGAATGACTTGTAGTGCTCATGTAATTTAGGTATTGATCCACCAATAACTGAAATTATCCCTCATTCATTCACTGAGTAAGTATTAAAGGAATACCTTTTACGTGTCAGCCCCTGTGTATCACTCGTACATTGTGATAAATCAGACAAGACTGCTGCCCTCATGAAACTTGCAAACCAGTGGAGGACATTAAACAAATGTATATATTCATTAATTTATCATTTAAATTGAAGGAGACAAGCAGTAGTCAAGCGTAACAGGGAGACTTTTTTGGGGTAGTTGTCAGGAGTTACTCCAGTAATATTAAAGAAAATAGAAATAGAAATTTTAATATAAACAAAAGAAATGTAATATAAATATTAACACAGAAAATCTAATATAAGGAACATTTCCTATAAAATGTAATTTAAATGTAAATTGGGCATTGGAGGCCTACAAAGACAGAAAGGGAGCACTGAAGTGTCAGAGAGGGCGGTCGGCACTAGAAGCAGCTGTCCTCCCCAGGCCTTGGGGAACGAAGAGGTTGGAATTCAAAGAGTTTTAAAGCTTGGAGGAGAGTCCTGTTGAGCTGTCGTTCGTGTCTCTAAAGGGGCACGATGATGTTGGTCCTGGAAGGGTTTTACGAGTTTGAGTTGGAAATCGAACAGTGCTGCTGAAGCCCACTGTCCCGCTGGGGTGAATAAACGTGGCTAAGTTCACACAGACAGGAAAGGTGGCGACGGGAAGCCCTTCCTCCTCCTGCTGGCCAGGGCCCCTTCGGCCCGTGGTGCCAGAGAAGCCGACCCGAGTTCCAGCCTCCGCAGCCGGAAAGGCAGGTTTGAAACTGGTGGGAGCCTTGATACAACCTCCCACAAACGATTCCTTGGGCAACCTGGAGGGAGACCTGTTTCCAAAGCATTATAGAGGAAAATAGATATTCACACAGCTGCATAAGCTGTGTTGTGGAGAGGAACTGAGTCCAGCTGTGCCTGATGTACTGTTGTGTACCAAATTACCCCAAACATAGCAGCTTCAAGCAAAACATCTTACAGTTTCTAGGTCAGGAGTCTGAGAGCATCGGATTCACGTTTAGGTGAGTATTTCTGGTTTCACTTGGGGTTCCAGTCATCTGAAGGCTTGACTGGGGCTGGAGGCTCTGCTTCCAAGCTCGCTTGTGTAGCTGAAGCGGGAGGTTTCGGTTGGTCACCACATGGGTCACTCATCACCTGGTGGCTGCTGCTCTCAGAGTGATCCAGAGTGGGAAAGTGACCAAGAAGGAAAACTGCGGTGTCTTATAACCTAATCTTGGAAGTGACCCATATTCACACAGACCAACTCTGGAGCAATGTGGGAAGACGACTACACAGGATGTGAATACTAGGAAGCAAAGATCGCCAGGGGGCCATCTTGACTGCTCTGGCTGGAGAAGTAATCCAGGGTTAAAAGGCGCAAAGGCGGATTCTACAGTTCATCTTGAAACAGTCCATTTTCCACTTCAGAGTTGCCAACGGAGGAGGAAATGCCATTGGAAATTTCAGAGGATACTTGAATTTTTTTGTCTTAGATGTCTTTACTGATGACGTAGCTTTTTAAGCCATTGATAATTGAACCAGCTTATGGATGTGACAGGGAAAGTGACTGATCTTTGATCAGTCTTAGATGATCACTTTATGCAAGACATTTAATTGTTCCTGGCTACGTGGTAAAAGTTCAACATAGCCCACCTGTCAATGCTGTGCTTCCCACATCTCCAGAATTATATTGGCACTAAGATAGAGCTCATCCTTGTTGAAATTTGGGTAATCAGCTGCCCCAGTGGCTGTTTTGTTCTTAATTGGTACAATAGGACCTGGGTCCCACAACAGCATCACGTCCCAGGCGCAGTGACCAGACTAGACATGGACTTGGCTTGCCACTTTGGTGACCTGTATGAGGATGTGTCCTTGGAAATTTTGTAAGATGGGTAGATAATGGAATATTGTTTTCCATGTGAA